GTATTGGCTTCCCACAAGTGGGGATCAATTTTATGTAATTTGAGAAAGGTCCTACAACTCTGCAGTTCCCAGTATGTGATTTGGCAATAGTCATTGCAATTTAGACTTTTTGTAAGGGGTCATGACTTGGCTCAAAGTAGTTGTTTGGAAATCTTCAAAAAACATTTCAGATAATTCAGGAAATACCTTGTTCATTTAGGGTAGCTGTCTCATCCTTTGCTTTCTGTGCCCTTATTCCCTTTTTTTCCTTTATGACTCATAGGAGAAAGGTTGCTCTTGTGGTCTGGTTTTTCTTGAGCCTTACAGCCCCTCTCAGTTTTTCACTTTATCCTCTGTTTAATTTCTAGTTGTCATTGAAGCAGCAGCATATGTTAAAATCAAATCAGATTTTCCTCATAAGCATAACATTTCCTAATATTCTTTGCAGTTACTTTGTTCTTACTATCCAACTAGCGGCAAAGTTTCGTATTTCAAATTTCTACTGAGATCAGCATTTTTTGATCAAGAGCAACAAGAGACAATCAGTTTACCTGCATGAAATTACCCGATGTTATCTTGTCAAATTCAGGAAGGCGATGAGTAATTGTTAATAGCAGAATTTCAAAGTCTGTGGCGTCACCACTGCATGTATTATCTTTCTTCTTTAAATAGCATCAGCATGACTAACACACAGCAAGTTCCATTGACTTGGTGGGAACCCAGAGCAATGAGTTCTGAAAGTTCATACTCTGTGCCAGTCTTACCCAAGATACAACTGCATTACAACAGGAAATTTGTGGGACATAATACTCTAGCCATCAGGCTGCCTTTTCCACTTCTGTGGCTTATGCTGCTTAACAGACGCTTAAGTATTGCATTTCTTTTGTAATTTATTTCTGTAATTTTTGCTAGTATATTTCCTGTCTGAACAGATAATTATTAAAACAAGGCTTACATCTCATGGACTGTCTTACTGATCTAGTGAAAACAGGTGAAAAAATAGCCTGCAAAAGTGACAGAGCAGAAATTGTAGAGGTTTCTATTGTTTTAAAAGGGTGGACTGGGCCAAAATAAGAAGTTCAAATGATAAAAATAGCTGTTGATTTTGATTCATTCTGGTACTTGTAAGATCTGGTTTCCATCATTACTTTTGTTGAGGAATTGTATAAATATATCTGCAATATTGATTACTTTAAGAAAAATCTCATGAGATGATTACAGGGATAGCACAAACAAGCAGAGTAGCTGCCCCCAAAAAGGAAGAAAATATTTTTGTTCTCTTTCTTGGGATTGCTGCTTACCATGATGGCTAGTATGTCTTTCCATTTATTTGTAACCTTCACTATTTCCCTGTGTCTATTTGCTGTTTTAGTTGTAAATTGTTAGCATTTTGGTTTTGAGACTGAGGCTCACTGTTTGGGCTACTGAAGAATTTATTTTCTGCAAAATCATTAAAGCATGTTTTTTTGTTTTGGTTTGGTTTTTGTTTTTTTTTCCTCAAGGAATAGTGTTTTAGAATTAGTGTGAAATGTGCTCGGATTTCAATTCTGTGTTGTACCAGAATGGCTTTGTTGAAATAACTCAAGTAGGTGGTAGGCATGAAAAAAGAGGGAGATTGTTAGGCATCCTTTAGCTGATGTGTGTATATGGCCAAGAATTGTCAGATACTGGTGGAGTTAGCTGAAAGATACAACAAAAGATTTAACAACTGAAAAAAACTTTTAAGACATAGCAATGAACAAAGGTGTAATGTGTGTAAACAACTTTCACATGGTTACTGGTTTAAAGAAAAAATTGAGTTACAGCTGAGCTTTCTAGGACAGAAGAAGTAATTGAATCCTGAGTGGTTTATATAATAGAGGCTGATAATACCATGAGCATATACCCAGGTAAGCTTTGTTACTTCCTTTTACTGAAAGATTTAGCCTTGAGAAGAGAAGACTGAGAAGAGACCTGATCCAGGTCTATAAATATCTAAGGTGTGGGGGGCAGAGTGGTGAGGCCAGACTGTTTTCAGCAGTATGTGGAGACAGGACAAGGGGAAATGGCTGAAAACTGGAGCACAGGAAGTTCCGCACAAATGTGCGTAAGAACTTCTTTACAGTGAGAGTGATGGAGCACTGGAACAGGCTGCCCAGGGAGGTTGTGGAGTCTCCTTCTCTGGAGATATTCAAGACCCGCCTGGATGCCTACTTGTGCGACCTGGTGTAGGGAACCTGCTTTGGCAGGGGGGTTGGACTCGATCTCTGGAGGTCCCTTCCAACCCCTACGATTCTGTGATCTGTAAATAACCTTTTTTTGTTTGTTTGCTGATTTAATACTTTGGCAAGTTATGTTGGTATTGTTGTCAGCTAAATGGAGCAACTTTTTATCTTTTATCAGTTTAAGTACATTTAAGTACCTCTGAGAGTAGAAGGGATTCTGAAGTGGCAGTTTTATCTTATCAAAATTAAATTGTAAGTGAAGACATAAACGCTAACTTATTTTTTGTTTGCTATTATTTATACACTGTTGAGGTATCAGAAAGATCCACTCAACATTCACACAAAATCAATTTTGCCTAATTGCCTGGGAAATAATAATGATTTTTTTAGAGCGTAAATAGACAAAGTCAAAACCAGGAATGTAATAGCAACATCTTTGATGCTATTTACCAGTAATTTTTGCTGTTGAGAACAGTGAAGTCAGGGATGCTGCATGGTAGAGGAATATAGCTTAAATCAGAATCACAACTGAATGATAAGCAGAAGGTTTCAATGGATCTTTTAAGGTCATCTAGTTCCAGCTCCCCTTCAAGGTTGACAACCAGTAAGTCAGACACCTGTCCAGCTTGTCCAGGGCCCCATGTGACCTGACCCTGGATGCCTCATCCTTGGAGGTGGTTGTAACTTCTCTGAGCATCTGTAAGTTCTCTGGGCAACCTGTTCCAGCACATCACCATGCTTTAGGTGAAAATTTCCCCCATAACCTCTAATTTAAATCTCCCCTCTTTTTACTTTAAAAGCATTCCCCCTATCCTACCGCTATCAGATCACACACGCACACAAAAGTCTTGTTTCCCTCCTGATAATGAGCTGCCTTTAAGTACTGGAAGGCTGCAGTGATACTCCCCAGAGCTTTCTCTTTTGCAGGCTGAACAAGCCCAGCTCCCTCTACCTTTTTTCATAGGAGAGGTGCTCCAGCACTTTAGCCATTTTTGTTGCTCTCCGCTGGACCTGCTCCAACAGCTCTCTTGTTTTGGGGGCCCTAGGCTTGGATGCAGTGTTCCATCCCTTCTTATAAATGGCAGTGATGTTTCCCTTTATCCAGTCCCTGAGACCAGTCTGGTTGCAATGCGGTTTAAACCACATTAATTTTCTCATAGAGCTTTTTGATTATTAGTTTTGGAAGAAGAGGTGAAGAGTACGATGGTGGTTAAAGAATATTTAGGGATGCATCATCTTAAGTCTGCACAGAATTGTTTCCTAAGTATACATGATTGATAGGTTTTTGTCAAGATGCATTGGTTCAACAGAATTGACCATTTATAGTAGGCTGAGGATTTTCCTCTGATTGGTGCATGGGGGGAAGGGGAGAAAGAGTAAACAGATATAGAAATGATAGGATTTTATGCCTTTTAATTCTACATACTTATAGTAAGAATTTCATGTTTGTGAATCATGGAAGCTGGCAACTATAATACAGATTCTTTTTATTGTGTTGTTCCTTATAGTTGATCAGCTTACCTGTTTCCAAGTGCTTCTTATTTTTTTTTCATTTTAGCATTTAGTCTTGTATTCTTTTTTTTTCTGAGGCTATAATTCATACACATGAAAAATCTTAGAAGCACATAAAATACTAGTAATGATTCCAGACATTAGATGGTTAAAATGCTGCACAAAGAAATCTAATATCAAATAGAAATTCATTCAGCTGGGAGATGTGCTGTGGAAATTAATCCTCTCTCTTAATGAAATAAAACGAAGCTTTTTAAACTTTCAGCAATATGATATAAAGTCAGTCAATACTATGCCCTTTCAGCCACAGTGTCAGTGAAGGAAAGCCTCTGCCATAATTGGAGTTAAATAAGGGTAGTCTGGAATGGAGTGAACATACTAGAAGTGTACAGAACAGAAACAAACTGGAAAGTTAAACTATTCAGCCTTTAATACTAAAAAAAAGAAAGTAAAATTGATGAACTGTCTCCACGGTATAGCATATAATTAATCTTTAGATATTAGTGTTCTGGAATTATCAAGGTCAAAAGCTCAATAAAATCTTCAAAGACATAATTGATTATAGAGATGCTCTCCTTGTTTTCTACTGCAGGAATCTTCTCACTTGCTGTTGTGTGTTGTGCTCAGGTTTTTCAGTCTAATTTTTCCAACATTTCTCTTTGGAATTGTGGTTCTCTTGACACTGAGACTGAGAGAAACTCAAGAGCTTATATATTAATGAATGTTTTAACTCTGTTTCTGTTCCAGCAGTAATGAAAGAGACATTAGCTATGTTTTTGATGTCTTTTTGTGGTGTTTTTTGGTGGTTGTTTTTTTTTGCGGTTAACAATTGGCATGTAATATCTGCAGTTGAATTTAACAGAAAACATTCTCTGAAATAAGAGGGATTTTTGCTATAATATTTTTGAGTCTTTATATCTTTAAATCCCAGAGATCCCTAAAGTAATTTGTCTTTTCTAGTGTTTATTTGTGTGCTAATCTGTTGCAGATAGAATGGTCCTGTTGTATGTCCAAGACCACGAGGATAATTGGTAAATACTGCCCAAATTGATAGAAGTTAAGTAAGAGTTAGGTGCCTGAAATGCAGGAAATAGATGCATTCTTACAAAGAAATAATTGAATTGAAAATGGTAGCATTAAAAAAAAAAAAGCCTATTCTAGCAAAAGGATTCAGTACACTTAACATTTTTCATCCATATCTGCTTGCATTGCTTTAAAATAAAGTTAGATTAAATTTGCAGGGTTTTTTGACAACAACAACAAAAAAATAGCTTTACAAAAGTAACAGTTCTTATGTATTTTTAGGGGAAAATGCAGTGTTGCACTTCTGAATGAGACAGAATCTGTGTTGTCGTATCTGGAGAAAGAGGTAATGTTTGTGATTTCTATTTGTATAAATATTGGGAATGGTTTTATGTTTGTTCTGTTTGGCTTTGTTTGCTTTATGCCTTTGTTTTCAGTAAATGGGCAAACTTATTTATTGAATGTTATGTTAGAAAAATGTTGAGAGTGCTGATTTTGAAAGTGCTTTGGAACAGTAACTGAAATGGCACATGGCGGGTTTCTTAGAAAATAGTTAAAGTAATTCACATGGTATCTTACAAAATAAAAACATGTAGACCTTTTCAGGTAGTGGATACTTACAGGGAAATTCACAATACAGTATTTTTCTGGTTTTGTTCTTACTGTTCTCTAGTTGTGTAGTTACTATTTTTCTGTCTTGAGGCATTCTAGAAAGACAAGTCTTCCAGAGACAAACTATTGTATTGTAAAGTGAATGGGATGCTCTTCCAGAGGGTAGCGTAGCATAGGGGTTTAATTTTTAGTACTCTGAACTTCTGTAAGCAAAATGTCTCCTTTTCTTTCTGGTAGAAGAAAATTGGCTTTACTAGAAAGGAAACAAATTATCCATGAATTTGGAAGATAAGTCTTTAAGCTAGTTTTGTAATGCAAAATACCTTTAAAAATAAATGTATTTTTATTTGGAAATCTTAATAGCAAGCAGACGGTGGTTTTTTTTTTTGGTTGGAATTAGCATTTCTTTATTTTCATATTTCTACACCAAAACCACTGATAATCTGTAGAATGTTTTTGAGAGCAACACCTAACCTTTACTACAAATGAGTGTACAAGATACGTCAATTCTATTTTTGTGTAAGCCTTTTTCAGGCACTGCCAGTTTTTTTGTGCTGTTTGAGACTATTGTATGAAATACAATAGTGTGGTGAAATATTTAGGAAAGGAAACATTAAATTTGGAAAATGGTTAACAGTTTTTTTTAATTTGTTACGTTTCATGAGTCATTGCTTTCATTGCTTCTCTATTCTGAAATAACTTCTAGCAGCGAGAAAAGCTTTGATTAACCATGTAACAGTATTCACGTGAAAGATCTGCATTTTTAAAAATGATTAATGTTTCAAAATTTTTATTCTTCTGCCAAACCTGTAGTCTGTGAAAGCACATGAGAGGTGTTACTTTAATTATTTTCACATGGAAGGTGAGGTAGATCTACAAAGCTAATTCTGAAATTCATTATGCTATTGCAAATGTATCTTCTTTTCTAGGATACTTTTTTTTATTCATTGGTGTATGATCCATCACTGAAAACGCTTTTGGCAGACAAAGGAGAAATCAGAGTGGGGCCTAGATATCAAGCAGATGTGCCTGACATGCTTGCAGAAGGTAAATATTTGCTCCTTGTATAGTTTAAAAAAATATCCTTATCATGCAGTATTTACATTAGCATTAATAATTAGGATTAAACTGGTCAGCATTGAAGCTGAGAAAATAAAGTATTAGGTCTTGGAAAATTGTCTTACAATATCTATGGATATCGGTAGGTATTATGAAGAAACGAGCAATGCTGCTTGAATAGCTCTTCAAAAGAGATTGTTAACAATTTCCCCATTCTATTTTTTTTTAATGTAATTGTACTGTCCAATTAAATCTTTCTTGCAGGCCTCATGGAAAAAAAAATTGAGGTCTAACCCATTCTGTAGAATAACAACATAGTCACAGAATAAGTGAAAAGTGTATTCTTGCTCTTCCTCTTAATACAGACTCTGCTTATGTAATGTGTGCCATTTTGATTACATATTTCAAAATATTAGCTTACATCAAATCATTCTTTAGCACAACTGAACAAAAAGTATGTGTGCTTTAGTCTTATACTACATAGGAACTTTGTTAAAACAGAATTTAAAACACAATATTTAATTAGAGTGTGGATGTTGATGCATGAGTAGCTGTCTGTGTCTTGAATTATAGTATGTTTGCTTGGTAAATTTTAAATTTTCTTCAGTGAAATGTGTGTTCTACATTGGTCACCAACAAAAGAAAAAATTTCCTGTGAAATATCTAGATATAAATATCATTTTTAAGAACATTGGTATATATTCTTTGATTAATTTAAAAAAAAAAAAGATGATTTTGCAACAGTACTATAACTTAACTCAAAATAATTCTGAATGCCCAGATACATAGATTTAAGTTTAAATGGAGTGTTCTCTATTAAGGATGGACTTTTTAGCATACTATACTTGTCTCATGTACAAAACAGGTATTTCTGCAGAATTTATTTAATGAACTATATAAAAGAAGAATTATTCAATTTCTGGCAAACAGGAGGTTAGATGCAGTTTAGAAGCTCATGTGTAATACTACTTATTTTAATAAAAAAATAAGCTATAGGAAGACTACTCTAGATTTGTTTATAAAGAGTACAGACTTATTTAGGAACAAGGCAATGGCAAGAATATTATACACTGCTATTCTTGCTGTAAGATATGCCTTTCACAAAAAAGGAAATATATAGATGTTTTTATGCTCAGGAAGAATGTTTCTCAGACAATTAAGAGAACGACAGTCTTAATATACTTAATGAAGAAACTAGAAAGCATCAATGTGATTTGAAGTGGTTGACTGAACTGTGAGGGCTTTTAGGATGAGTTGCCATTGTCTTCCAAATAGGAAGCTTTTAAGTAGCAGAATACAGCAGGAAATATTATTAACAATAGAGACTAATTCAGGAGCAATAAATAATACATCTAAAGTGAATGTGTTTTTTTTTTTCTTTCATGGAAATTTAACATTTAGGAACTTGATTTCTAGAAAAAAAAGAAGTTACTAAATTCTGGAGTTTACCTTTGAGAGGAATCGTATGAGGTCCAACAATGGCAAGTGCAGAATCCTACAGCTAGGAAGGAATAGCTGCATGTATAACTACAGGTTAGGGGCTCACCTGTTGGAGAGGAGCTCTACAGAAAAGGACCTGGATATCCTGATAGACAAGTTGACCATGAGTCAGCAGTGTGCCAATGGTGTCCTGGGGTACTGGACATAGAGCTTGGTCAGCAGGTTGAGAGAGATGATCTTCCCCCCCTGCCTTGGTGAGGCCACAGCTGGAGCAGTGTCCAGTTCTGGGCTTTTGGTTCAAGACGGGAATCTTCTAGAGAGAGTCCAACGGAGGGCCACAAAGATGATTAAGGGACTGGAGCATCTTCCTTATGAGGGAAGACTGAGAGACTTGAGGCTGTTCATCATGGAGAAGACAGAAGTGATCTTATCTATGCTTATTAATATGTAAAGAGTGGGAGTCAAGTGGATGAGATCAGGCTCTTTTCATGACGAGGAGCAATGAGCACAAACTGAAGCAAAGGAAATTCCATTTGAATATGAAGAAAAACTGAGGGTCACAGAGCTCTGGCCAAGCTGCTGAGAGAGGTTGTGGAGTCACCTCTGGAAATGTTCAAGACCTGCCTGGATGCTCCTGTGCAACCTGTTGTAGGTTGCTTTACCAGAGGGTTTTGGACTAGATGGTTTCCAGTTGTTCCTTCCAAATCTTGTGATTCTGTCAAATCCTTGCTTCAGTTAAATTAGTAGATCGATCTACTATTATTAAGACAGGATTTCAGTCTGTGTTACTATCTCTGTTTTTTCACACTCCTTAATCCCTAAAGTGTAGCAAGTGATGCAGTCCTCTTGATATCTTCAGTAAGCAGTAAGAGTCCATCAGTTGTTAAGATTCAGAAGCAAAAGTTGCCCACAAACCAAAGATTGGGTGGCATTAGAGACCCTTTTTTTTGTTTGTTTTCTACACATATTTGCAGTGGCTTGTGGAAAAAATAATTTTGTTTTGGAAGGATAAAAATAGCCAAATCCACAGTGTTTTTGGATAATTGTGAATTTGTGTTTCTGCAGCCTTCAGACCTTAAAGGAAAAGATGGTTCAGCTGTTGTGGTGTCTCTGTGTAAGCTGTCAGCTTGGGAGTTAATCCATTTCGATATGAATATATGAATGCACTGGTAGCTTCCAGGAGACTAAAAATTTTTTTTTTTACAGTATTCTGATAACTTATTTTCTGTCTAAATGAACTACTTAGTTTTTTGTTTATTGAAGGACTAGATGCTGTTTTTTTTTTTTGTTGGAATGGATTTATTTATTTATTTATTTTTAACTGACATTACCATTACTCCTTTAAAAAGAAAACTTGAACTTCATGTGTAGGCCAAACTTCAGATGATAAAACATGCCTGTTTTTCTCCTCCCAAGGGTGAATTGTGTAACTTTGTCTTCCTAATTTATTAAAAGAAAAGAATATCTTCTTTTTAGAAGATTAAAAGATTTATTTAAAACAGGGCATGCATTAAGATATTGTATATCTAACTTTGGAAGTCCAAACATTACTATATGCTTACTTGTCAATAGAGAAGTGTACAGATAAGTTTATGAGGAGGTGGTCATTGACTGGCATCATTGTAAAGCAGCCTTCCAAAAGATGGAATATATCATTCATATATATGCTTTCAAATACTGATATATTAGTTTTATTATCTGATGAATGGCTGCAATACTTACCCAGTGATTTCCAAAAGGATTCAGTCTAAAAACGAAAAACAAAACAAAGGTAAACTAAAACAAGCAAGAAAGAAAACTTCTGAATCAGTGTTTATAGCAACTCCATTACTTCTCATTCACTTTGGGGAAGGGACTTCTGTTTGGGTGTGTTTGAATGCATGTATGGAGGGAAGGTGGAGAGAGCTCAAATTTTCTGGGGCCTCTTTGCTTACTGGAGGTCACATATTTCAGAACAGACTGCATGGGAAATGTAACTTAGACTGTTGGATTCCTAATACAAGCTGGAATCATAATTCTGGATACTAGACTAAAATGTAAGATTAGATTTGCAGAACTGCTGGACTATGAAGTTGAACTGCTGAACTTGAAGTTTAGCTGATGTCAGTTTGAACAGTATTTTCCCACTGAAAAACATTGAAGAATGCTGAAGTATTTATATATTTTGCTTTCAGTTTGAGCATAGTTCAGTTATAGTTGATTATTTGATGCATAATCAGATTAAAAAGTAATGTTTTCAGTAGTAGTTTAAGATATATTTCAACAGATGTGTGGTTAAGTGAAGTGGTGGTTAGTCATAGAATCCCAAATTTTCTTATAAACTTCATGATTTCACTTCCCTACATAGCTTGATTTTACCATCAATATTTCTTCTGCCTCTGATCTCCCTTTGTTTGTTGCCGATGTTGCATGAGCTTTGTCAGGATGTTGTCTAGCAAAATTACTACTTTAGAGGTAGAGTTTTCAAAAGAGATGCAAAATAAAGAAGGTATGGTTTAATACTTTGAAAATACAGCTGCTAAATGCTGATAAATTAAGTTGCATATCTCCAATTGGATGCCTGGAAGTCACAAAGACTGACATGTTTATGCGTGAAAGAATAAAAATAAGTAGAGGGAATGCTTAAAAAGCATTTATGAAGCGTGGATTTCTTAGGTATGAGTACCATAGAGGGTCATATTAAGAGAGAAATCCTTTTATTTTGAGGATGTTTTAAATAACATTTTGGAAATATGATACAGGGACACAAATGTATGAAAAATACAAATGGTTGCTCAGTGAGCTAGCGTGCAGAATTGTCTGCTGTGAATCAGATGATGGGTAAAGATGCCATTGAGAATTGATAGTGCACAAGAAGGCAGTATTAGGTAGACTTAGAAGATAACCTACCTTTTGAAATCCTTTAGAAATGTAAGTGCTTAAGAATATGAAGAACATAATTTATTTATAGAATGGTAATCCTCTACTCCTGCTGTCCTTATAATAAATACAAGCTATGTTAAAATTTCATCAAAAATATCTAAACTTTGTATCTACACTGCTTTTATTTGTAGTAAGGAGTTATACTTAGTAAAGACTATAGTGTATAAAGACCAGACCAGATTTCAACACTCTAATACTACTTCTATTATAAGCATCTTTGCGTAAGACTACAGGGTTAGTCAGGCAAGGAATAATATGATGGTTGAGTGAAATCCTTCCCTCTCCCCCTGTGTCATGTGCTCCAGTTTGAAGATTGTGAGTCTTTTTAGTTACTTTTATTGTATTGAAGAACAGCAGATTATACACTACTGATTTAATTTCTTATGAGAGTGATACTAAAGAAGATCCTTTCTCTTTTAACCACATGTTCAAGCTCTTTTTCTGTCAATATAATAGTTGTTTATTTTCAAATCTGTTTCTGTTGTGGGATAACATTCTGCTCCCATATACAGTGTTCATCTCAGAGCTGAAACATTTATTTGAGCAGAGAGCTGCTTATATCAAGCATCTCTTCTGTACAGTCCAGGAGCAAGGTGCCTAGTCCTCTGCTATAGATGGATTTTGGT